TCATAAAGCTGCTTCATGCTGTTATATTTAGTTTGTCTCGCATGCAAATGCGTAAATTAAAATTAAACTTTTGTACTTTGTAGTTTATTCTCTTCAGCTAAAAAAAGATCAGTGACAAAAACATGCTACTATTAAAAGTAAGATAACGTTTCGATACAAGTTTATGCCATAATCTCGTGAAATTATAAAACAGGTAAACTGAGCATTCTAGAGATTTAAAAGAATGCCATAAAAATTCATTCAAATAAATGTGATTAAAAAAACATTTATATGATATAAAGAAATTATGTTTAACATCGGCCAATGCACCTTGAATGATTAATATTTTTAATATGATTTTGCATTTTTAAGAGACGGTTATTAAGCCTTTTAAGGGCCGAACATTACTATAGATTGACTTTGATATGACTGTTTCACATTTGTCACAGCGGATACTAGCGGGTTAATAAATAAATATACCTTTTCATAATTTCAATTTTATAAAGTTAGCTAGAGGACTTGTGCATGATTATTTTTACGACAGGGGTTTGGGCTTAAACAGATTAAGACCAGAAATTTAGCTGATTTAACCGGTTCAAGAATAAAAACATGTTTGTCAAACGACTTACGTAAAATCATTAAGAGCTCGTATAAATGCACATTTAAGTACTATAATAAAAAGTCAATTCCCCAAAACTAACCCCTTCATTTCTTGGTCAATATTCGAAAAGTGATTGCACTGAATACAAATCTAAAAACAAAATTTAACTTTTTCATATCGACGCTACAACCCAGCGACACCACACTACAACCCTGCCCTCTCCAGAGTGATTAATCAAGCAGAGGATTAATCTTACAGGGAGCGAAATGAATTTGTTACAAATTTACATGCTCAAATTAAACAGAATACGACACTTTTGCTGGATCTTTATTTTACAAAGTAAGCAAAATTATGAACAGATGAACAAACAATAATCAACTTATATAATGAAAACGAGACGCCTGTGAGGCGTTCACTCGGACTATTTAAGATGGCACGGTATTGATGTTCTGTCTGGCGGCCATGTTGGATGTTTTAGGCAAAGAAATATTATTAATGTTTTTAGGGCACCATTGGACGTGTTAATTCCATGTGATTGCTTGCAAACAAAGAGTAATAAATAAACAAATGCACCACTTCACTGGGCAACTCCTAGCTGTATATCAGTTTAGCTATAGATTTTGTTGTGTTTTGCCAATTTCAGTGTTACTTTTGGTCAATTCAACTTACTAGACACCGTAACAGCAATCATAGGTATGGAAAGCCATAGCTGTCTTAGGTCGTGCAAATTTATTTCAATGGGTGCTTTGACCATTATACGCGGTGCTTTAAGCATTATACGCGGTGCTTTGACCATTATACGCGGTGCTTTGACCATTATACGCAGTGCTTTGACCATTATACGCGGTACTTTGACCATTATACGCGGTGCTTTGACCACTATACGCGGTTTTTTGACCTTTATACGCGATGCTTTGACCACTATACGCGGTGCTTTGGCCATTATACGCGGTGCTTTGACCATTATACGCGGTGCTTTCACCATTATACGCGATGCTTTCACCATTATACGCGGTGCTTTGACAGTTATACGCGGTGCTTTGACTTTGACTATTATACGCGGTACTTTGACCATTATACGCGGTGCTTTGACCGTTATACGCGGTGCTTTGACCATTATATTCGGTGAGCCGCTATTGCTGGTCAGTACTGACGCATCAGTTTATAAATCCTTCATTTTGTTTTTTCAATAATCTCAAAATGGAGTCCAAAATGTCATTTATTTTGCAAAAGTTGCAGCTGGACACTTTGAGGAGTGATTTACTTCAGAGAAAATAACGCCGGACTTAGTTTGTAAGCTTTCTCTCAATGATTTCAAAGAGTTAGGGATCCAAAACCATTCCGACATTATGTCAATACGAGTAGAGTGTGTGAAATTTGGATTGAGCGAACCACCAACTAGAACACGGAATGAATACGGAGCACTACAGTTTAATATACCTAAGCTTCTCCTTGAAGGCTATTTGGAACAAGATTTCACGATAGCAGAAATTGCAAAACTACTTTCCGTTTCTGAGAGCACATTATACCAGCGAATGAGAAAATTTGGCCTCTGTAAGAATGAATTCTCTGTTATTACGGACGAGGATTTGGATGAACAAATTGCTAAGATCAGAAAAGAGTTTCCCCACTACGGCGAGAGCATGGTAAAGCAGATCCTTATTGGAAAGGGTATTAAAGTACAGCGGTGGCGTTTACGTGATAGCATACATAGTGATAGCACGTGTGCTATTGCGACTATTAGACCTTCGTGGGTTAAAAAGCGATAGTCGCTCTTGAAGAATGTCGTTTGTTCGGCTTGTGGAAGGTTCGGTTTCATCTAATTTCTTTTTACACGCATCACGAATGCAAATTCGCTCTCCAATTGTGGTAACTCCGAGACGAGACAATTCTGAATCGGACGCAGCCAGAACAGCTGGTGGTTCCATTCTTTGTACGTGGAAACGACTTACTAAATTTCCCATTTGCAATGACTGCAATATTTTCCTCCATTTTTCGCTTAAATAATTATTTTCCAGTGATGTTTAGCAGCGTGTTTAGGATACGACTTTATCAGAATATCAGTCTTTATATCAAAGTTGCAATTTGTAAACTGAAACGCTGACCAACAATAGTGGCTCACCGAATATAATGGTCAAAGCACCGCGTATAACGGTCAAAGCACCGCGTATAATGGTCAAAGCACCGCGTATAATGGTCAAAGCACAGCGTATAATGGTCAAAGCACCGCGTATAATGGCCAAAGCACCGCGTATAATGGCGAAAGCACCGCGTATAATGGCCAAAGCACCCATTGAAATAAATTTGCACGACCTAAGACAGCTATGGCTTTCCATATCCATACAGTTTTCATTTCTATACATGCTGTTCATCATAACATAGTTCTTTGAACCAATCATAAACATTTACTTACACAATCATCGTATAAGTGGTTCATCCTTTTTTTATCATAGCTACTTTGCATATTATCTTGATGTGGCACTTATTGCATCTCTGAGAATTGGCATGAACCAATCAGAATAGAAAATTTAACGATGACGTACTTGTCTCAACGTATTTAAATTTGTCCATCTTCCTCTATGAACTTCTGTCGTTACAGAATAAGAGGAATCATTTAGCTGAAATTTTATCCGTCCGCAAAAGAAATAAATGCGAAATACAAGAGTTGATAAACTTGCGGAGAAACCATTTTCAGAAGGATAAAGTCTTCTCTTTGAACATAAGTTCATTGATAATGGAGGTATGCTTTAAATCATTTACAGATGCCCGGCTCTCTGCCTGCGAATCTTATCCTATAAATTAAAAATACATGTTGAGCATATGTAGTCGTGAGGTAAATTGTTTTGATGGTTTCTCGATGGCGATAAGAGTGTAAAATAAATTTCATATTATGCATTGCAAAATGAGGCACTTAAATACAGATGCATTAATCCGTTCAAATGAAATATCTTCTTTGATTTGTGCAAAGGAAAAACATGGTGATTGTGCGCACATATCTAAGTTTGTTGGTAGTATAAGTAGACAGGATTTTCCATTCATTGATATGTATTATACATGGTCGCGCATCATAAAATCAGCGCATCATAAAGTTGAAGCCAGCAAAGACAGTAGACTGCTATATTGAGCACTGGCCACTTTGGACGATTGGCGGAATGTATATAAATTGATTCTAGTTGATCAAGGTGCTTGTTACGCTTTTACAAAACTGTCTTGTTTTGACTGTTCCACAGTAGGACACATTTGTAAGTTTTTTAACATGTGCTTATTTCAAACTGTTCTGTTTTTATTATTGTCTGTCAAGATCAGGATAAATTGTTCTCGTTTACGATAAAGTGGTAAGCTTCTTCTAATGCACTTCGAAAATCCTGGTTACTGTTTTTAAAAACATTTTGGAATGTGTGGGACTGAACAAACTATAACTTCTGAAAGTCAGTGTTTTGCACTTATACCATTTGCTCATCATCAACAATTTTTTAATATAACATGGTTCGTCATTTTGAATATCTTACGATAGCGAAAATCCTTACCACCCGTAACAGGCATTTCAATCACTCTCACTAATTAGTCGTCAACTCATGTGTCATGATGATGTATGGCCAGCAATGTTTGTCTGTAGTTTGGATTCTTCGTGGATGTCAGTTGTTTGTGCATATAATGATGATGGGCCCCATTGTTATATGAACCCACTTTCGAGTGGTCAGCTTACATTCACTAAAGATCGACTCTACAACGAGCATTGTATGATTGATGACTTAACTGGGGTATTGAAATGTTCCCTCCTTCCATCAATGCACATAAATGGCCGCGTTTCTATAGTTGCTGGAAGTCTACATTGGCGGTTGTTAGGTTGCTTCATGCCAACTACAGACTAAAGTTTGGACTGTATCGTACAAATGGACAAAATTATTGGTGTGACATTTTTGGGAATAGAGTATGGACATTGCAAGTGCATTAGAAATGATTTACACGGATTCGACAAGCGCACTCATCTGGTCTGGTGACTCACTGTATGACATGATAAAAGTATTTGGAAGTTTGAAAGAATGAAAGTTTGAACAAAGAAGGATAACGGTGATCAAAATAAAATAGCCAATTCAGGTTATGTTATTGTTAAGTTGTGTTGTAAACTAGATCCCGATGGTCTGCTATTATAATTTCGTGTTTAGGCATTAGAATTAGCATCTGTTTAAAGCGGTGCATAGTGAAGTCGTCTGCCCTTAATTAATAGCATATAGCTGTAGAATGAGTTGTTTTTACTTTTAGTGATTATCAAATACTTACCTAGCATGACAAACCTTGTTTACAGCGTGGTTTTAAAGAAAGGAGTAAGAATCTCGAGATTATGCCTCCCCCCCCCCCAATTTTTAACATTTTTATTTATGTTTTTTCACTACTTCCGCTTTGAGAAAAATTTTAAAACGTACTCTGCGTCCACTAGCAAATAGCCGGCTTTAACTTGCAACTTTTTTTAAAAATGTATTAGTGAAATAATCTAGCAAAGAGCATGCTGCTTGACAATCTTTTTTATGCTGCGCTTGCAAAAAATGCTTTAATGACGTGCAAGAAACGTACGAGTTTCCGAAAAGCAAAATGTTGTGTAGACGATCTACCACTGAGTCAAAATATCGTTTGTGATGACAGCTTTGTCGAAAAAGGTTAGTCTTGTCAATGTAAATATATCAATTTTTAGAGTTAGTTCATTCTGTATGCTGACTTTTTATTTGTCATTTGATTAGAGAGGAAGATTACTTGCCTGTTTCACATCTTGGACACTTGACAAGCACAAAGCTCAGAAGCTAAAGAATCAACGAACAGCAAAGTCTTACTGCTTGAATATTATTATTTGATTTTAAAGTGTGTTCGATGAAAATGGCGGTGAAGTATACGTATGTCGACTAGTTTCTGCAAAATTTACATTCGTAATAAACTTGCAAGTGAAAGCCAGCTATGACCGATGATTTCAATATACAAAGATGTAAAAATTTTGAAAAAATCTCAGAGCTTAAAAATCTCAATCAGCGTCTGGCTGCTGTATAATTAAGGTTGTTCATGACATCACTGGATAGTTTTGTTGTACATTCAAGCCATTTAGGCATTATATGTCCATGGATTGTTTGCATTTAATACTTTATCTGAATTCGAAGCATCTTTATATAGTACAGCAGATCATTGGGATCATCAAAGCGATTGAAAAAAAACTTTATGTAAAACTGTTGGAACTTTAAAATGTGCTGAAATGTGGATCAAGTTTTTTAAGTTTTCAATCTGTTTTTGATTTAAGGGTTTTTTACTGGATCCGCTAGTTTTCCCTCCGAAAAAAATGGTGCCCGTATTTGGGGGCAAACGATGTGTCGATGGTATTATACATTCAATGTGTTCCTGTTGGCCTTCGGTCTAACACCCGAATACTGTTAATTCAAAATGAAAAACAGCTTAATAATCGAAAATAAGAAATTAGTTTATTTTTTCCTAATCATTATCACTATGTCAACCGCCATAAACGTTTTGCATCATTGCAATTCACTAATTAGTTTTTTTGACGTGTTTGCTGATGATCAAATGACAATTGGTAATCTGATTTATCGTATTAATGCATAATATAAATCCAAACAAGGTTTTTATATGCACATGAAAAAAAAAGTGATTTGGACAAGATTTATATTATGTATGATCTCTGATGATGGCTTTGGAATATAGTCGAAACACGGTGCCATCCAGTACCTGCTATCGTGGAGAGAATCTCTCGTCCATACGTAATTTTAAAGAGATTTGACTCGTCTCCAATCTATGTGGGCTTGGTAGCTCAACAGGTAGAAGAGCGGACTTGTATTCCGAAGGTGCTAGGTCAAAACTCGTCCAAGTCACATGTTTTTCATGTGCATATAAAAACCGTGTTAGGACTTATATTATTTACAACCTCTGATGATGGCCTTGGAATAAAATATTAATACATTCACACCAAAAGATTCTACTATAGTGAACGTTGCCTTAATCTTGCACAATGGTATTGAAAATGGTTTATATTCTTCGCTTTGACGATTGTGTTTTATGGTCTCTAGTTGATTTTTGTGTTGAACATCGCGAAGGATAAATGTATATTACGTCACTACGATTTTCGAATCGTCATAATTATTCATTTATAGCTGAATATTCCTTCTATATGGAGCTACGTGCATATATGTTACATATCTCATTATTATGACAAAAGCTTTTACTAAATATCTTTATTATATCTTTTTTGATACTATAAAGATATGTTGTGCCGCACATATCGTCTGCCATCATTCCACGAGGATATTTAAATCTTTTCATTTGTGCTCAACCACTAGAATAACTCGACGTCATTTTTTATATTGAAATATTTTCTGTTTCATTGCGAAAAAGTAACGTCATGTTATTGAATTGGATGGAAACAAGAAAGAAGGCCTAAGTATCTTGCTGGAATAATGGCGGCCGTGAGGACGCAGTGCACAACGCACTCTAATATATCTGTGAAGCTAGAATCGCCATATTTTAAGGTATCACTTAATACGAAAAAGTAATAATAATATTAATCAAACTCATATTTCCACAAAATCTGCTATGTTTACGTATGGCTTTAATTTAAAAAATAACAGAAGTACATCGTCATTGAAGCTCTGATATAGTAATTTTGCTGTCGCGCCTCTAGTGGAACTTTGCAATCGGGTGATAACAATAGGGGCACACGATTACTTTAGCTTCAACTTTTTCTTTGGCGTTATACTGCAATGCGCTATCTAGTTTATTATACATATAAATGTGTGTACACTGGAGCGACCCTTTTGTACACTTGTTATTCTGTTTAACTTTTAGTTGTATTTTAATGATGTTTGCCTAGTTTGTTGCAGTCTTTGATCAATCGAAGTAACATTTTTTTGCTTTAGTACCATCCAGCATCAATTTTTCTTCGCCAAATTCTCCAAAATATCACAATTATTTGTCCAACAAGCCATAGATGACGGGATTAACCACGTGGGTATTAAATATTCTAAACAGTAGAGCAACGTCATAAAATACCGACGATGAATAATAATTGTTCGTTTCTACATAAAATGCAATGGATATAGGAATGTGTCCAATTGCGTAGAAGATGACTGTCGTGATGCAAACAAAAAATAATTTACATACGATTTCGACGATATCTTTCTTTGCTTAATGAAGTTAGCTTAATGAAGCTTAATGAAGATGAGACTCCATTCTGATAATGTGAAATCGGGAAATTGTTTTGTTGGTTAAAATGTACTCGTGCTATTTATAAAAAAATACTATCATTGCTGCCGCTGCGAGAAAGGAACGTAACATAATGTTGAATTTTAACGATCACAAAATGGTCTTCGTTCTTAAGACAATTTGGAACAAACAATACGTAACCCAGTATGAACGATACAAGATACATGTCAGTATGAACGATACTTGTCAGTACATGGTATGTCCTCCCTTAGCTTTCAAAATGGCTTCAACTCTTTTTGGCATAGATTTAACAAGATTTTGAAGTGTAGATGGTTCAATATTATGCCAACATGTAGAGATTACATCCTATAGCCTGTCCTGTCTTGTTACGTCATGTTTCACTTTTTCTCTTTTTAACTCATCCCATAACTGTTCAATTGGATTAACATCGGGCGATTGAGGCGGAAATGCCATGAGCTTCAATTCATCTTGATTTTCTTTATTCCTTAAATAATTTTTGCACAAGTTGAAGCTGAGTTTCAGATGGATATCCTGAAGTAAGATAAATCCTCTGTCGCATAACCTTTTGCCAGATGGTACAGCATGCCTTTGGAGAATAGAATGGTATTGCTTTTTGTCAAGATTGCCTTTTATTCTGTACAGACTCCCAACACCATTAAATCTGAAACAGCCCCAGACTTGAATGTTTCCACCCCCATGCTTCACGGTGGACTTGAGGCACTGACTTGACAATCTTTCACCAAATCTTCGTCTCACATAGACACGGCGATTATTTCCATGTATTTCAAACATTGATTTATCAGTAAAAAGTACTTTTTTCCAATTGTCTACGCTGTAATGCTTGTATTTATTGGCCCATAAGAATCTCTTCCGCTTATTTATTGGGCGAAGCAACGGCTTGGAAGCTGGAACTCTTCCTTTCAGACCACTTGCAGCCAATCTCCTTCTTACTGTTGTTTTGCTGATTGCTTTCTCTCGGGTGGCGTTAATTGACGATTGAATGTTGCTAGCAGTTGCTCGTCTGTTGCACAAAGAACTTAGCTTTCTGAAAACTGATCTTCTTTTTTTGTTGTTATACGTGGTCTCCCAGGTTTTGGTAAGCTGGAATAACATTGCGTCTTTTTAAATCTTTCCACGGTTCGCTGCACAGCTCCTTTGGGCACTCCCAGCTTTGCAGCAACATTTCGTTGTGAGTAACCTTCGATAGTGAGAGCAACAATTTGTCCTCTATCTCCTTCACTTAAATCTTTAGCTATTTCCCAATGTACTGCCCATGCTCTTAGATATTGTGAAATATCTTACAAACAATTGTGGGAGACAATTTCAGGTCTCACTGCGCATTTTCAAGTGGCTACTGTAACTATATATTTCAAAAGACACATTTTCCCTCACAATTTTTCCAATATTGGGACTGGACTCGTTTTTTTGGCACCTAGTGTATAATATACATTTATACTAAGGTTTTAAAGGAAATACAAAATGAAGTGTCTGTATCATGCGATGACCTTTGGTCTTTAAACCTAATGAAGCTGCTTGAAGAACAAATTCGTTCAGGCAAACTTCGTTAAAGCCAGGGTGATCCAATATGCATTTCCTTTCATCGATTTCGAACTGATACATTTTACCACGGCATTGCTCTATTTCCATGCAGCATCGGCACTCTTGAGGGTTGACAACAAGATCCAACGAACAATGGCCACATTCACACCTTTAATATTGGCCAAATTGTATGTTTCCATAAAGTTATCATAGCTAACGGCAGACGATTCAGATCAAAGTAACACACTAAGAATGACATCTTACCATGAAGTAACATCAACACGGGCATCTAAACGATCTTGCAGCATGTCTTCAACCCGTCGTTCTTCTGCGACTGTAGCTTCGTACTCAGCAATTTCATCGGGCGAAGCAAGCAGTTCAATATTATCGACAAATGGCAAAATTTCCGAATTAGATTCGTTCGAATTTGCCGTCACAAATTCCGATGAAGAAATCGATGCGTTTGTCTCGATCGAAGACTCTGAGAGCGAGCTGGAACTCGATGAATTTGACATTTGTTTGCTCTATTTATGTATTACTTTGTATACTTTCCAATGTGCGCTTCTTGCCGTATTAAGACTATGACGTCACAGACCTTTGCTGATTGCAAATATTCAAAATGGCCGATTTTAATGGCGGACATGAAAATTAGACATTTCAAATGTTCATAACTCCCTCGTTATATAATTATTTTTGCTTACATTTTACTAAAGCAATAAGTGATATGTGTTTAAACTATTGAATGCTAAAATCGATGATTTTTTAACGTTAAGTTTTCGTCATAGAACCACTTTAACAATTATTGGATGTATTTCATACGCCATGTTGAACCTTTCACTGCCAGTTGCTGATAAACACAATTGATTTCAATAGAAGGTACTAAGATAGAACATGCATATATGAAGATCCCCCCCCCCTCAATTATCGAGCTTGCATGGACTCACGTTACCTAAGGCCCTGTTCACACAATACTGGATTCGCTGAGCAATCCGATACGAAAAATGCACTCTGTTCACACGATGCCGGATTCGTAAGACGATACATAAGTTTTTATATCGCTCCAGTACTTGTACGTGCAAGCAATAACAGCGATGGTTGCTAATTTAAATATTTCGTGAGAAAATGAGACATTTTTATGACAGATAACAAAGTAGAGCTTTTTCTTGAGTATATTAAAGTTTTTGCATCATTTGTACGAATGGCCGCAAGGACTGAAAGAGTATAAAGTCCAAATACAACCGAATATATGTTGCCATTACAATGGTACTAGACAGAAGCTTTCCACCCTACAATAATACATTGTTAAAAGCTTAAGAATGCCATGCTGAAGATATATTATATTTGCTGGCAGATTATTCATTTAAAACATAGTTTGTATCTCTAAGTTTGCTTTTATTTTTGAAAAATCGCACTAAATTTTTAGTTGCCAAATTGGAACATATCGGATTCGAGCGTTCACACGACAACGGAACGTATCGGATTGGTGTTTATACCACTGCCACAGCGGAGTCAGATCGCTCCGGAAAATGATACTAAGCGTATCAGAATGCAGCCGAGCCGTATGAACGCAAGGCCTACCCGGTACGTAAAGTAATCCGGGATCAAACCAATCCGGTATCGTGTGAACAGGGCCTTAATAGTACGTTATTTTCGATAACCTTGTCAAAGACCCATACTTGTCGTATGTGGGCCTATAAAATATTGAAGAAAAGCTTCCTCATGCGTATGTCACATCTTTTAAATAAAGCTAGTTGTTGCATAAATTATACTGCTTTATTTATGCTCACAGAACAACACCCAACTTCGTTATGATATCATCCTTTCATTAAAGTGCTTATGCAATGAAATTTTCATACATTGTTTTTTTTGCTTATTAAAAAGTTCTTGCTCTCAAAATCATTTTTGTGGAAACAGAGTTAAATTTTCTCTTTTCAGATTGATTTTATAGACGTCCAAAGTGGCAGTTTTTGGAACTTTTTTGGCTGCCATGTTTGCTAATTTGACGTCATAGGTAGTACAAATTTTCATCATGGCAAAAAAAATACTATTAATTGGGCGACTTCCGTACTACTTATGACGTCAAATGAGCAAACATAGTGTTCAACAAAATTCGCTCAAGAAGACAACTTTTGGAGTTGAAATTAGTCAACTTCCACTTAAAGTGAAATTGACATAAATATTTTAAATCACTTGCAAACATCTGCATATTTTACTAAGTCTATAAATAAGTAAATGAAAATTTTACTGCATAAGCACTTTAAGTTCTTATCATTTTGGTTGAAGGAACTTAACGGCACAAATGAAGCTAATAATAACTCATTTCGCATTAGTTTTTCAAATTGGATATATATGAAATAAAAATCTTTAAATAAAAACGACGAATTTTTTAAAAACAAACATGTTTCGACTTATTGCTGCTACTCAGAAATTATAAAATATGAATTATCTATGAATAAAGTAGTATGAGTTTATGGCACAGATCAAATAAATGTGACGTATTCCGGGGCAAGCGTTTCTTCAACGCTTGTTATAATGTTGCATAGACCCTTAAGACAAGTAAAAGCTCGTAAATTCTTTATAGTAAGTGTTTATTACAAATGAAGCATTAAAGTCATAGTATACATAGACATTCATCAACAACGTCAAGTGATTATACAAAACTTCTATTAAATAAGCTACAGGCAAAAGGTAAATGTACGAGTCAATACGTAAATGAAAACAGAGATAGGTAGAAATGTTTGATATCTTGTCTTCAGTTGGTTCATAAAAATGCTTACTTATTTACTACAGTCGTGCATCTACTAAAAACAAAACTCAGTTTCACTTTAAGCAAACACACAGCACGTAAGGTCACCATAAAAATATCAAACGTTTTTTTCAATTTTGGTATCCTGACAAACATTTGCTTTCTTTCTTCGGTAATTTCTCCAAAAGATTAGTAGTTTTCTGTCCCCCAGTCCATAGATAAGAGGATTAATCGCATGTAATGCGAAAATCCTTAGCAGTCGGGTGATGTAGAAAGTTGATGACGAAAATGTATATCTGATTATGTGAAGAAGGAATGCGATGGCCATTGGGGTATGCCCAATCGTGTAAAAGATAAATGTCATGCAACAAACACAGAATATCTTACGATTTCGACGATATCTTTGTTTGATGAAGGAAGAGGTGACTGCATTCTGATCTTGTGAAATATTAAATTTATTTCTTTGGTTATGAAGTACTCGTGCGATTCTATAATAGATTACAGCAATTGCTATATTGCAAAGGAAGAAACCGAAGATGAGTACAAAACGTTGTATTTTCAAAATCACATTACGCTTATTATTGTCCGTGCAGTATGGAACATGCAATACATAGCCCAGTATGAACGATGCAATGTAAACTATAACACAAATCATTTTTAATCTTCGTTTGCTGATAGGAGTCTTTAAAGGATATGCAGAGGCACGATAACGTAGAATGGATATAATCAACATCATAAGAGCTCCTGCTTCTGAAAGAATGTATCTTGTTGCAATAACATGACAATATGTTTTGGTAGCTGTGAAGCTTTTAATATGAAGTTGGGTTATCAAGGCCATAAAATCTAGAACCAACAGAGTGCCATCACAAATGGCAAGATTTAAAACAAGAAAGTAGTAGTTGCTCGTCAACAAACTTCGTCGTCGTAATATTGAGATGATCACGAGAGAGTTGCCAATGATACCAAATAGTACTAAAGGAACGGTAATTTTAGTAAGAATTTGATTCAATTCATACGCCATGTTTAACGTTTCAATGCCTGTTCCTTTTAAGATTATTAGCTATGGAGTTAGTTTTTTTGGGTTTTATATACTGATGAGGCAAACAGAGATAAAGTTAAAGCCAAAACGAACGAGAAGATAAGCTGCATACTTCGTGCTGTTTAATTACCTTACAGCAAACGAAAGCAGTTTAAATGCTCAAATTAAACTAGCTAAAACGACTTTTTATACTTAATTGCACAGTTTTAATTTATGAAGTTAGTAAAAATTATAAAAGTGCGCGCCCTGTGCACATCTTGTTGAAATATACTAAGTTCACTCAATTAAAAACAGTGAAACTGAACTGCTTTTATATGTTCCCCGTGCTGTATCAAAACGACTTCTGAATAGTTATAGCTCTGCATAATTTTTTTAACGTATACGTATATATAGTATGTCAAACGGCATGTATAGCTACTAAATCCAGATGGTGAGCTGTATGCAGGTGCATTTGCTTTCAGCCAACATTCGTGGATAAATAATGGATGAACTTAATTGACTATTTGTCTAATCGGTCTTAATTGTCACGCTTTTATGTATGTTTACATTTTGACTCACGAATGCTGCAAAGAAAACGACTTTTAGTTGTGTGTCCCATGTCAGAAGCATTCAAATGAAAAACTAATGTCGTAGTTTAATGAAAAGTATTACTAAAAAGATCAAAATAAAAACTTGGAGGAATGTGAAGGCTTGTTAGTCCTTCAGAAGACAAAAAATAGACACTTGGCGCGTATATGTTGCTTTCACAAATGAATACAAAGCAATAATATGAAGTACACTTTTGATTTAAGTTCCTGCAATTTTATGCATTTGTTATAGCATCCAAATCTATCCAAATTAAAATGAAAATTTTTAATAAATTTATTTGTTTACTTAAAAATTCATCCAAACGGAAGATGTTATTGCAAAAGGATCCTAGGCTCCCCTACAAGGCAATCCACCCATAATAAACCAACTTGCTAGCAACTACAATCTGACATAGAATTGATCTTCCTACATTTAATACAGATTATCACTTAAGTGCGTGCATTGTTCGGTGTAAAAACATTATTCAATGTAGTAATATAAAATGAATATAGCTTAAGCTGGAGAACTCTTGATATTTCTGGTATATTGTTCCACGGGTGAACAATCCTTATAAAGAATGTATTTATAAGAGCCTGCGAAAACACAAAAACATCTATTATTCCTTTTTGAAATTAACAATAATGCGAAATGGACAAATTTGAAAAAAAGGTTTACTATATAGTTTATATACAAACGAATGAAAACAAAATACAATGTGAATGAGACAAAACAACTATGCTGATATAGTGTTTTCTAAACGCGTGCTCCCCATTTAACGTCAGATCGGGACTCGTCCTAGTTTTTTTGTCATCCCGGCCATGCAAAAATTTATCAACTTTCAGCGAGAAAAAATCTATACGAACATTAAATTTTTGACACAAGAATTATATTGCAAAAATGTTTAAAATCATCTAAACTGTTTAAAAAGCCCGACTTCAAAAAC